TCTTTATAGTGGGTGAAAAAATATATGAAGTTTCTCATGTGGCCCACCTCTGCTGTAGTGCGACATTGCTTAGCTTTGATGGCCATTTTGAAATGTGTTGTCACCAGAAATGTATAATTTGTAGATGTGCATCGTCCAGTAAAAACTTTCCGAGTGTTTGATTAAAATGCATCTGCTGAGTCATGAGTTATTTTGCAACATATTTAACACATATAAACGTAGAACACAGTAAACATTTACACACACAGGACCATGGGTACATGCCTGCCGTTTGGCAGTGGGGGAATAGTTTTTGAAAAAAAAAAAAAAACATAATTTTCGTGTTTCCGTGACGCTTCTGTGGATGAAAACGTGCTGCAGCCCTCAACACAGTCCCACCTGGAAAATACTGAGTTGCTGTAAACATCAACACTGTCTGGAAATGAATCTGAAATGTCAGCCGTGTGTGTGTGTGTGTGTGTGGAGGAGTGTGTAGGTTACTGCAGACTGAAGCGTGGCTTTTCACAAACACTGGTAAACGATGCAGAGCCTGACGTATGACGTTACTGTTTTCACTTTTATTTATATTTTTAACAACCCATCCCGTTCATGCAGGATATTATGCTCACATGGATGAACTGAAATAGCTAAAATGAAAGTTTCAGCTTTGAAAGCTGTTTTGTTTGTGTATGAATCATGGGTGTGTTACAGATTTATGGTCACATTTGAGTAAAAAAAAACTGCCTTTTGACGCATTGAAATAGCTTTTACATCGAGTAGAGGTCAGGTTAAGAGGAAAAAGTGCACAAAGTGTGGTTTGGGTTGTGAGATGCAGGTGTTGCTCTGATACTGGTCTAGTCTTCACGACGCTTCAGGAGCTGTTTGGTCTGTGAGAGTGCAGAAAAGTTTCCAACCACAGCATTTCCCCCTCTTACACGCACACACACACAAAAACACACACGCAGCTTGTCTCGCTCTGCTTTTAAGCTTGAGTTTCCAAGCAGCAGGTCAGTGGTGTGTGTGTGTGTGTGTGCAAGAAAAAAAAATAAAAATCACCTTTTGCATTTTGTGCATTTCCTTGCACACAAACCCGAGAAGACAAATGTCATTGCAGGTGTCACAGATTAGGTGTTAGGTTGTATTTCCTTTCTGGTTTTGAAGAAAAGCATGTTTACAGACGGCACTTTACAACATAGCAATTAATTAATTTACATTGAAATGTAGAGTTAAAATTATTTTAAACAAAGAGGGTGTGTGTACACTGATTTTATTTATTTATTTTTTTAGTGGGGGGGTTCCTCCCGGGATAGCTACTCTCCCCCATCAGACATGAACTGTGTCACGTAGATCGCGGCCCATGGAGGCCACAACCATCCCAGCCCAGGTTGGCTGAATGTAACGGCTGTTATGAGACGGTCTAGTCTTTGGATGTTTGCATGACCACGCACTACTTTACCATGGTGATACCTTTTATATTACATCACCCATAAATGCCTGAAACTTAATGTGTTGTAACTAGGGCTGCAACAACTATCTGATAAAATAGGTTAAAAGCGTTGACAACAAATTTCATTATCAATTTGTTGTCAGGCGATTTCTGATGGCATTAACTCAATGATTAAGCTTTACGTTTTAATTAGCTGACAGTGTCTGAGTGAAGACATTTGACTTCATACTGCAAATAAAACAAGGCATTTATTGAATTATTGTAATAAGCAGCTGTCATGATGGTCACTGACACGAGGCTGTCCATGATCGTTACTATCATAGTTCACACTTTTATTTCAGGTTACACTCTTCACTCAAAGATACATTTTATAAAGCTCATGGAGAGAAAATATGAAGAGACGTTCAAGGATATAACACACATTTGTGTAGATTTTTGTGTACATTCATTTTTTACTGAAGCTATTTGACAAATATTTACTTGTTTAGGCATTACAATTTAATATTATAGTAACATAATTCTCAAACAGCAAACTGTTTTTAATGTGATTTACTATGTCAGTCCAAATTTTCTATTTTGGAAGTAAGAGGTCAAAATTATTATTTTATTTTTTTCTTTATTGTGTTTTTTGATTCATCGATTAATTGAAAAAAAATTGATTGCTATAATAATTTTTAGTTGCAGCCCTAGTAACATGTATTCACACATCTTTTCATGGACGGTATAACTT